ATGTTCCTGGCTATCGAATCGAGCTGATCGAGAAAGAAACAGAAAGGAACACTTGGATCCGCCATGCAGTTTAGAATCAGTGTAAGAACCAAGGGAGATTGACGTGTCGGGCGAGACAACGCGATGGAACTGTGATGGATGGATTCGAGACGTGATCGTGATACAGTTTAGGGTGTTTGAAGTTGCTGAAGTTAGATTTGTGATATATTTTGGACTTGGTGGTGAAGTGCTTTTTCTCTTGGTGGTGTCAGGCTAGTTTAGTAGAATCGGGTTATTTTAAACACACGATTTGATATATGTAAAAAGAAAGTGATTCGGTTTGATTCGTTTCATCGTGTTCATAATTATCAAACGATTCGAATAGATATTGAAAATGTCATAATATTTTCAACGTTCATTCTTGAATATTCATATATGCTCTTGTTATTCACGTATTCAATATCCTTCGGCATTCGTACTCTTGGTTTTCGATTTTCCGAACAAGCCGGGGTTGTGAATCGTAACTGTGAGAGAAAAGTAGAAAGATCGATCAATTCTGCAATCGACAGAAAATTTTCGGCCCGCATTCTCTTCGTAGGCTTATTAAACATATTATCAGGCGCGAAACTTTCGAACGATCCTGATATTAAATTATACACATACCATCATCGCGCAGTCTTTTGTACAATCGTGTATATAATTATAAAAAAGAAGAGAAAACAAATATATTTACAAATATCTTCCATTTTCAGGTGAGGTTTTTAATCTTCGCGGCGACGTTGACCGTCGCGCTGGCCACGTTCGGCAAAGAACAGTAAGTACACACATTAACGATCACACTTCACCATGAACGTCGTTAAAATCTCATTGTTGTGACAACGATAACGAGCGGGATACTACTCGCGCTGAAACCGTGCAATTTTCCAGCGTGCACATCAGGATCCACGTACCGGAGATAATTCAGCATGACGAGAAGAAGATTATTAAGTACGAAGAAGATCACGGTGGACACGATCATGGAGGCGGAGGAGGTGGTGGGGGTGGAGGTGGCGATCACACTGTAATAATCACTTCACCTGGAGGGGGTCACGGTGGTGGATTTGGAGGAGGTGGTGGATTTGGCGGTGGTTTCGGAGGAGGACATGGAGGAGGAGGAGGTCACGGAGGTCACGGAGGAGGTGGATTCTCTAGCTTCGGGGGAGGCGGAGGTGGCCACGGAGGTGGCGGAGGATTCGGAGGTAAAAATTTCAATTGGGACTCGAAACATATTGCTTCTTTACAAAGAAAGTGTTTACCCAGCTCAGAAAAAGTAATATTCGAGTTAATGTAATTATGAAAACGTTGGAGAGCAATCCTTCATCAATTATGAAAATCTTATTCACTTTATAATTTGATCGGTTCATGGCATTCTATATAATCTTTATATCATTCTATATAATTTCTATATAATATGTAAGGTATTCTATAAATATCTTTTATGAATTTTCTCTTCACTATCGCTATGAACAACGGTGAAAAATTACATTGAATTGCGCTGTTCCTTTAATTAAGAGAAATAATATCTAATTTAATTTCAAAATCAGTTTCTTTCGCTTCTCTTGGAATTTACTTGCATTTCCTCGAATTGTATCATTCTTGATACATGTATTTAATACTGATCTTTCAAAGACTGAAACTTCAATTTTTAATTGTAAAATAGTGTGAATATCTATCATCTAGTCTTCCAACACACGCATAGCTTTATGCCTGAATGATTCATCTTTTAAACTTGGCTCAGACTGTCTGTTACTCATTGCAGTAATCTACAGAGGTTACAAATATTAAAAATTCATTTCCAGAAGGTTCAAAACAGGTATAACGATGTAAAAACACAGGAGGACGTTAAGGGAGCATTCATTCTAAGAAACAAACATCATTTCCTTGTTATTTACAAATTAGAATTTTAACTTAGATCAAAATTGTTTGAGAAACAAACAAACATCTCAGAACAAAATTGACAATTTGCAACGCAAATCTAATATTGTTTAATATTGCAATGGAAGAAAAATGGCATAATGTTTCTGCAGTTTACCAGACTTTCTTATAGAATATTAATATAACCGAGAAATATTTCGAAGAATATTTTCCTCAAGATTGTCAGAAGATATCAAAAGCTGACTATACACTTCAAAAAGATCATGTACAATTAGAGTACCTTGCTCATTTAAAAATCTTGAAAAAAAACTATCACTGAAAAGTCAGACAAAACGAATCGTTGCATTTCTACGGCTCGCAAGAGATAATGAAATAGAACATCTTCCCACGTTCTCTTTAACCAACAGCGATATCTGGCTGCAGAGAATGCGTTCTCTGTTTCTTTCCTCGTGCTCCTTCACTGTAGAACTCGTTTCGTGAGTTTTCACTTCCGGCTCGTTTCGTCTCGTATTCATATACACGGACGCGCGCAGCATCATGATCCCTCGAACTTCACTCTTTGCAAGGTTGAACGTTGATTTTGATAGGAGTTCCATTTAGTTCACCTTTCTTTTAGGGAATTTTAGGGAATATTGCGACTGCAGGAAAATGTATCCTTTCTTCTGATCTGAATGGTTTATGGTTAGGTTAGGTGTCGATAAAGATAACAAATATAATGTTAACTAAAGCTTGTCGGTTGCCACTGTCACAGACGAGTAAAAGAAAGTAAAGATACATTCTATAGTTTCAACACAAAGCTTGTACAATTCGATCGCTAATCGATAAACATCTTCGTCCATCAGAGGTGAATTATTTCCAAATAAACAGATTAGAAATATGTTTGCAGGTGGCCACGGAGACATCATAATATCTAGTCCAGGCGGTGGCCATGGTGGTGGAGGCTATGGAGGAGGAGGTGGTGGATTCGATGAACACCATGGTGGCGGAGGATTTGGAGGAGGTGGTGGATTTGGAGGCGGCGGTGGTTACGGAGGGGGAGGTGGTGGATTCGATGATCATCACGGTGGCGGAGGATTTGGCGGAGGAGGAGGAGGAGGAGGAGGAGGAGG